GTTTTTAGAATCTTTAAAATTAGTGTTGAGACTAGCATAATTCCATTTTCACAAACGGGGTTATACTAGAAAACGCTAATCTGTAGGGGCTGTGAGGGAGCCCTGGTGGCACAGTGGTTAAGTGCTCAGCTGTTAACCAAAAGGTCAGCAGTTCGATTCTGCTAGCCACTCCTTGGAAACCCTATGCAGCAGTTCTGCCCTGTCCTATAGGGTCGCTATGAGTCAGAATCGACTAGACGGTAATTGGTTTGGTTTTTTGTTTAGTGATTGTGAGAAGTGAGAGAGTGCTTTTTATCTCACACATTTCTTTTTGCAAAGAGCACATAAAGAATGTTAACTGTCAGGATCATTTATTTAAATGGATAGTCAAGTTGATTTAATTTATTTTTGTTCTTAATAAGCAGAGATTGATGAATCACTTAGTGGTAGATACTGCTTATCACCAAGTCCTTCTTCCTGACAACCTTTACCCAGGACTTGTAAATGTTTGCCTATTAACTACATTTAAAATTTAGTATGTGCAGAGTGATTTCAACTGTGTGTGAAAATAAGTGGATAGAAAAAAAGACTGAACTCAAATTATCTCTCGAAGGTGAAAATTTGGGTGAATTAAACTTTTTGTTTATATTTTACTTTTTGCATATTCTAACTCTTCTTCAATGAGCATGCATTACTTTTTTATTACTTTCATAATTAAGCATAATAGATGCTATTACAAATCAATGTATTTGACTGTATATATACTATTTTAAAAAAAAAAACTAAACCCACTGCCGTCAAGTCGATTCCAACTCCTAGCGACCCTATAGGACAGAGTAGAACTGCCCCATAGGATTTCCAAGCAGCACCTGGTACATTCGAACTGCCAACCTTTTGGTTAGGAACTGAGTTCTTAACCACTACACCATCAGGGCTGACCTCCTTCCCTGAACTTCTTAAAGAAAAAATAACTTTTTTTATTGCATTATAAGACACAAAAAATTTTGAGCAAAAATCTGCTCTCAATATTTGTATCTGAAGGAAGAAAAAACATGACCCATTATCCTACTCCCCTTTTCTAGATAGAAAAATGGTTAATATTTTAGCTTACTTTAAATTTATTTGTGTTTCTATGGATCCCTGGTGGCACAGTGGTTAAGAGCTTGGCTGCTAACCAAAAGGTCAACAGTTCAAATTCACCAGGCGCTCCTTGGGAACCCTGTGGGGCAGTTCTACTCTGTCCTATAGGGTCGCTGTGAGTCGGAATCGACTCCATGGCAATGGGCTTTTCCCTATGGCATATATCATACATATGATAATTATACCATATATATATACTTATAATGCAATAAAAAGGCTATTTTTTCTTTAAAAAGTTCAGAGAAGGAGGGTTTTTTGTCGTTGTTGTTACTGTTCAGTTTTTTTGTTCCTTTTTTTGGGCTCATTTGGTTTTTAAATTAAGACTGCCCCTACCATCTCTCTACCCAGTTCAACAACTCCTTTGGAAAGTTCTCCTTCTTACTTAGACTAAATCCTTATTGCTGCTATGTAGGGCAGCACACCTGGTGGTCTTGCTGGTAATGTGGGTGCTCCTAACATCATTCTGGGAGATAGGGCAAGGCCAGATCATGCAATTTCTAAATCATTTGTAGTGGGGTAAGGGTGGGGGAAAGAAAGTTGGGCATTTATAGCTGGAAACTTGTTTATGGACAGATCAGAGTTCCTTTCTTCATGCCAGCTAGGCCTCCCCAGGTGGCTCTGTCTGACCAGGGACCCAGGGTGCAAGGCGTGGCCAATGTAGGCTTCCACCTAATTGACTAGCAGGACTGGTGGAGCAGGACAAAAACAAGGCAGAAGGCTGATCCATACAATGGGAAGAAAATGGAGACCCTATCCCCATCATTAAGGAAGCCTGGTGGTGCAATGTTTAAATGCTCAGCTGCTAGTTGAAAGGTCGGCGGTTTGATCAGCGATTTGAACCTACCAGCAGCTCCACAGGAGAAAAGACCTGGAATCTGTTCCTGTAAAGATTGCAGCCTAGGAAACCCTATGGGGCAGTTTTACCCCATCCTGTAGGGTTGCTATGAGTTGGAATTGACCAGATAGCACACAACAATAACACAACATCCGCATTATTGATGCCCCTTACCTTGCTTCACATGGGGTCACTATGAGTCAGAATCAGCTCGAGGGCACCCAAGAACAACCTTGCTCTACTTATTCTTTTTGCCATAGCACTTATCACCTTCTTACATACTATATAAAACAAACTAACAAACAGTTGCCATCAAGTTAACTCTGAGTCATGGCAACTCCATGTGTGTCAGAGTAGAACTGTGCTCCATGCAGTTTTCAATGGCTGATTTTTGGGAAGTAGATTGCCAGGCCAGGCCTTTCTTCCAAGGCGCCACTGGGTGGACTCGAACCTCCAACCCTTCAGTTAGTGGTCGAGCGCATTTACCATTTGCACCACTCAGGGACTCCACATGCTGTACATAAAAAAACAAACAAGCAAACAAACCCATTGCTGTTGAGTTGATTCCAACTCATGGCGATCCCATGTGTCAGTGCTCTTCCGTAGAGTTCTCTTGTCTATAATCTTTACAGAAACAGATCACCAGTCCTTCCTTCTACAGGCTGCTGGATGAGTTCAAACCGCCAACCTTTAGGATAGCAGCCAATTTCAAACCACTTGCACCAGAGACCATTGTTTATTATCTGTCTCCCTGATGCACCTACAGGAGTATGCTCCATGAGGGCAGGAATCTTTGTTTTGTTTGGTGATGTGTGCCAAGTGTCTAATAAGATCCTGACCATAGGAGGTGTTTATTACATCTTTTGAATGAATATACTTATATTTAGTGTGATAAAAGGATTGTCAGGAAACATGAAGTGAAAAAAGGTAACAAAGCAGCATGGTTAGCATAATTGTAATTAAACAATACATTGTGTGAGAGAGAATGAGAGTCTGGAAGAAAACACAGCAGTTGTCAAGGTTGAGTATTTATGAGTTTTTAGATTGTGGGTGAGTTTTACTTCTTCATGGGTTTTGGACTGTCTGAATCTTGGTGTGTGTGTTTTACCTCTATGACCGTATAAAATTTTTTTCTTTTAATTTAAAAAAGAAGAAGAAGAGGAGGGATCCTGAACCAACCACAAGCAGCCAACAAGCTCTGGGTGTGGCTCCTTCTGGTGTCTTGGTGATGGAGGCAACCCTTGACTGTGGACCATCACTGCTTCCTGAATGTCAATGCCCACCCACACTGGGAGGAGTCTCTGAGAAACCCCCCTTTTTGTGGCCTGGAATCTTCAAGCAAATGCCCCTTCAAAGTTAAATTTGTCTTACTCTCCCCAAAGTAGCTGTAATGTTTTTATGCTACTCTAGTTTGAATCTATGCTCAAATGGTAAGTGTAAATACTAAGGTTTGATGTCCTTAGAAGTAACTGCAGGATTACTTGTTACTTGTCAAGGGTTAATTGCGTGAGTGGCTGGGGACATGGCTGTCTGATGCTCTACTAAGAGCTGTATCTATGCCCTGTTGTCACCACAAAAGAAGCGACTGCTTTTTGGAGCAAGGGTTTATAGGCAGTGCAATCCTGCCAGATACCCAGGTTGTTGTCGATGTTTTGTGCCCTTGAGTCAATTCCGACTCATACCCAGGAGGAACCCAGAAACTACGGTGACCTGCGCTGATGCCCAGCACAGCACTCACAGGTCCCCTGCATTGCCGGATGTGTTGAAACATCAAAACAACAGCTCTCACATCTCCTGTGGAGCGGGACCCTCCTTGCAGCTTCCATTCAGGCATTAAGTTGGACTCTAGTCAGACTGACCTGTGAGGAAAGGGGACTGTGGAACTGGGTTCTGGGCAGTAGGTGACGCTGAGGTGTGTGGAAGCCAGTCATGAATGATGCTTGGCCCTTGTTTCTAACTGTACTTGAGTGTTTTCTCACCATAGAGCTCTGGGCAGTTGCTACCAATTGCTTATATGAGCATTGCAAAATGGAAGCTCTTCACCACTTGGATTTGTCATTAATTTGAATATAAAACAGTAAGTCCCTCATATCCTGTACCCTCACACTTCCTGCCTTCGTTATCCTTCTTTGTATTTCTCCAAGACCCTTATCACTAAAAGACTACACATTTATTTGTTTATTGTCTGTCTCTCCCCAGAATGTAAGCTCCAAGAGGCAGGTATTTTGTCTGCTTTATCCTCTGCTGTATCTCTAGTTTGAGAACAATACCTGGCACATAGTAGGTACTCAATAAATATTGGTAGAAAAAGGTAGAGAGAGAGAAGAAAATAAAAGAAGGTACAAAAGACAAGGAGATGCATCTTTTATACAGATGGTTTCCATTTATTTTATGATTTTAAATCTGAACCTGCATAAAATGACAGCTGCATTTAGCTCAAAGAGGCCCTGTGACGTGAATGGAGACAAGCCCAGGTTGCACCTTTGCTACTTACGGGGCCAGCAGCCACTTAGTTTGCATCTGCTGAGGCTATGACAGCCCCGCTGCAAGTGACTCAGGGATATTCTCGGGGTGATGGTGGGAAAGGGGACAGGATCACTTATGATGGGTGAGGACAGGCCCTGGCTGCACTTCTCCCCTAGCCTGGTGGTCCTCTGAAGCGATGATGAAGCATGAGAAGATGCCCCGGGGAGCACAGGAAAGGCTTATGGTGCCTGGGAACTCCAGGGTGGAGAGGCCCCGATTGTTTCACTGATTGACTTAAAATGGGATGCCAATCTCCCAAAAGGATACAGCTCTAAAGAGGATCTAAAAGAAACTTAAGCTTGAAGTTTCTGAGAAGCAGCATAATTTTTCTTCCTTCCTGCACTCATTCTCTCTCTCAATTTCTTTCTGTCCCTCTCTTTTCACACATACTCCCTTTTCAAGGCCCCCTCAGGCCAGAGCCAGGCGAGTGGACACCACACCCGCCCAGGTGTACAAACGTGTGCGTGCATGTGCGCGTGCGCATCACTCCTGTGGAGCCCTCTGCAGTGGGGCTGGCCACTCAGACGTTGGTGTGCTGAGAACCAGCGGACGCTGTGCTGCCCAGCTGGCTGCGACCTGAGGGGGCTGAGCTGGCTGCCCGGCTCCGCCTGCTCCGATTCTCCCCTGCCTGGCTTCTTGGGGCTGGGTCATCCATCAGCATCAGCTTCTCATGCTCCTCCTTCAGGAAGAAGTCCACCAACAAGCTCTTCTCTTTCTTGATCTGGTCGCTGATGTCCGTGGGGATATCTGGGATCATCCAGTCCACGAGAACACTCAGGAACATCACAAGGTTCTGTCAACAGCAAGGAAGCGAGGGGTTGAGTGGAGAAGTGCGGCCTGAAGGTTGGTGCTTTGTGGCATAGGTGGGACACTAATGCACTATCACCCACCACTGCCCTGGCAGAGTGACTGTCTTAGCTGTAGTGCTGGTGGTATGGTATAGTGGTGGAGAACATCACCCCAGAATAGACTGACTCCATGCAATCCTGCCTCTGCTACTTATTAGCCAAGTGACCTTCATCAGTATCATAACTGTACTGCAGTGTCATCATTTATAAAATGAGAATAATAACAGTACCTGCCTCGTGGAGTTGTAATGATTAAATGAGTTAATACATGTACAAAATTTACAACAGTGCCTGGCACATAGCAAGGCTGATGAAGTGTTAGCTATTGCTTCTCCCTCACACAGGACTTATAGTTTCTCCTCCTCCACTTCGTCCTCAGACTCTTCTCACATGTCCTAGTCTTGCTTCTTGACTTCCAGGCCTCCAGCCTCTCCCTGCCCAGAGCTTCCTGGGAAATGGCCATGAAGCCAACTTGTCTCTCCAGGGCTTCCACTGTGCTGCTTGAGCCTCTCCTCCCTCTAGCTGGCTCTCTCGGTCCTTCACATCAGACATGGATTTCTGGGTTTTGCATTGAATGCTGGCCTCAGCTGACCCACCACTACTTACACTCTGTTCTCTATTCGATTGCAGCCGCTGTAGTAAACCCACCTGTCTGGGACCCCTTGCATCCAGCTCTCTTTTACCAGTTCTAAGCTTTTGGAATTGTCTTCTTTCTTCTGTTCTGCTGAGCCACATCCCTCCCCTCATGTACACTGGTAGGCTAAGACCACCTTTTCCTGGAAGCATTCTCTGATTAAGTGAATGAGTACGTTGAAACAGTACCTGGCATGGCCCAATAAGTGCTAGCTATTTTTATAATCTGAGTTGCATTCATTTCCCAAGCCACCCTTCAGCTGCCTTCTACTCAATAGCCTCCTCCAGTTGTGGTATTCCTCTCTAGTTGCCAATTATACGCTCACTGTCTTCTCCCCTCTGAGACTGGAGAACAATGACTGAGCCCAGAACTAGGTAATCAGAGCTCTGCTGTCTTTCATACTCAACCTATTCCCAGTTCCCATCCTTTACCTTAAACTCGATGTGATCCTAGGGGCTTAAGGAAAGACTTTGAAGACCCAAGGCCTCTTCCAGAGGCTCCTGGGAGCCTTAGATGCTCAAGCTGCTTCATCAAGTGGCACCCTCTTCCTTTAAACCAGCTCCTTACAGTGAAAGTGAAATGTTACATGTGACATATGGTAAAATGAGGAGACTCCTGCGGGTAGGGCAATTTTTCAAAGCTATCACCCCATCTTTCCAAGGGAAGAAAGGCTGTCTTCTTTAGGTGAAAGACTAGCCGATGGCTTCTCCACTTCCCGGGCTGGGGTCTAGGAGGCAGGATACTTTAGAGCCCTCCAGAGATCTGCCTTCAGGGAATACAAAAGCCCGAGGGAGCTGTAGAGAAAAGAATCTGTACCCTGCTCCAGCCCCACTTGAAGGCTGGCTGTACGGGAGTGGGAATTGGGGGGCCCTCGAGCTCAGAGAATCTCAGTGATGCAATTGGAGCTGTGGCTATTGTCCGAGATAGAAATCGCAAGGCTCGAGTTTGCTATTTATTCTGGGATGGCTAGATGGCTCTGGGGGCCCTTCCCACCAGATGTCTCAGTGGCTAAAACAATGCTAACAAAGGAGGTTGCTGAGAGTGACAGAAGAAAGGTTCAGAACTCGAGCCCTTTCTCAGCTGCAGAGATGAGGTGGGGCTCTTTGTCTGCATTAGGGCCGAGACTCTGGTTTCAATGGCCCTTCCCACTTTGCTTTCTTTGTCTTAGGTTTAAGTGGGACTCCATCTCCACTCTGCAACTTATTCCACATCTGTCTTGTAACCTCATTCTGTGCTTTATTCTCTGCAAAGTCCATCCATTAAAGGAGCCCTCTCTCTAGTCCTCCCTACCTCTCCCAGGGCAGGGAGGCTTCACATCTGCCTGCCACATGCAAAGACCCCTATGTCACAGAAGGCCACAAAAACCTGGAAAAGAGGGGCCAGCAGCACGGCAGCACCATCTTTACCTTGCGGCCTGGATTCTAATTGTCTAGTCCTTATTTAAACAACTCACCTGGAAGATTATGACAAAAGCCAGCCGGGCAGACAGAACGGACCAGTACTGTTTGGAAAACTCATATGGGTTCGGGGCCCATGGTGGCTCTCGGTAATCCTTAAACCTGACCAAAAAGAAAGATGGTGTTAAGGTAAGGGCTTTGAACCATTTCATTCGTTTCGAACCCCTGCTGAGAGTTTGCATTTCCACCCCAGATATAGTGAATCAGAATCTACAGTTTAACAAGATCCCCAGGTGATTCTTACATATAATAAATTTTGAGAATCACTGCTCTACCAGTGATTCTCAGAATTGGTCCCTAACCAGTAGCATTAGCATCACCTGGGAACTTGTTGGAAATGCAAATTCTCAGCAGGAGTTCAAACTGCAATGAAGCTGTTTGAAGCCTGGTTAATATTGGGAGGAAATGAAGGGAAGGGTGGTACTTCTCTGGATTAAACCTCAACATTCAAAGTAGCAGGCAAGCCCTTGGCTCTTTAGAATTAAGAAGTGGGTGGGTGGGTGCATGTTGGGGGATCCATGGCCCAACCAACAAATGTCCATGGAATAAAATGACCAATGTCCAAAAAAACCAATGTCAGCCTAGAAATGCCCTTTCCGGATCTCCTTTCAGCATCCCCAAAAGCTTCATCTGGTGTCAGGATTCTCCTCCCAGGAGTCATGAGTAACGAAGGTCAGTGGATCCATCTTGGCTCCCCACTACCTTGTGGGCTCTGTGAGGGTAGGGAAGGCCCCCAGATGCTTCGTACAGTGCTCTATAGCCTGTGGACTCAAAGAAGATGCAGGCGCAGCCAACAATCCCAGACTTCACTCACAGCCGGCTGCTTTGGGACTGCAGCCATGAGAGAGGGCCTGGGCTGGCTTGATGGCTGCATTCTCGAACTAAAAAGCAAGCTGATTCCAACCAAGCTGAAGGCTGAGTGAATTATGGTGGCAGAGGCAGTCATAGTCATGGTTGGTCAGTGTCCTGTCCATGCTCTGTGCATGCGGTTTAAGAAACAGAATGTCAATGCTTGGCATGAGCTCCTGCCTTTTTCTCAGACACATTGAGAGGACCAGGGCTTTCTCTCAATTTTGCTGTTCATCCCCATTCTGGGATGACTCATGTTAAAGCCAACTCGTTTTCTCTGACTTACATTTTTCTAAGCCTTTTATTTGGAAAAATGACAAGAGCTGGTTCCAGAGGGGCTATGGCCATTCATGGAACTCTTCTCCATGGAATTCAACCAACGTTGATGCTCAGTAAAAGCAAAACAAGCCCTGGGCTAAAGAAAGAGGCGGGGAAGCATCAGGCCAGCCAGCAGTATGTACGGCTATTGAGGAAAGCAGGGGAGGGACTAGCCCAGAGAGGGGCTGGGAGGGAAACTAATACATATCTAATAGGTACTCTGGCCAATCCCTGAGCAAGGAACTTTCTTGGAAGTTTCTCATTTGATCTTTACAACATCCTCAGCAGAACATAATGCCTGTATAACACATGAGGAAACTGAGGCTTGGAGAAGTTAAATTACTTGCACTAGGCCTCCTGGCCAGTAAGATGTAGAGTCAAGATAAGAATCCAGGTCTGGCCAAATTCAAGCTTTCCTTCCATTGTCATAGCACACCTTGCCAACAGATGCAGTGTGAGGGTGGCGGGATTCAGAAACGACTGCTCTTCTATCCCTTCCCTGTCCTGAATGAATGAGCTGCTCTAAAAGATCAATGGTATAGCATGGTGGTTTCCAGTTGCCCAAGGAGGAAGGAGGGAAAAAGAGGAGCCCAAGGAGGAAGGAGGAAAGAAGAGAGGAAAAAAGAGGAAGAGGAAAAGAGATGCACAAACAAAGAAGAAAAAGACACAGGACAGAGTCAGAAAGAGACAAACTGAGAGAGGGATGCTAAGCATTTGACTGAGGCTTGGCAAGAGGCCAGAAGCTGCCCCCTCCACTCCCTACTCCCCTCTTCCAACAGCTGATCACAGCTGTTGAAGCTTGGTTTGACATCCGGATGAAAAGCAAAGCTAACTACAGCCCAGCAGAACACCACAGGATTCACCACATCCACCCGTGGCTGAGGACAGAAGCATGGCCAGTTCCAGATTACCCTTGCTCATGGGAGAGAGGAAGAGCGTGGCTAAAAGAATGAGGGCGTCTGGGGTGGAAAAACTTCAGATTCACCATCCTCCTGCTGCCCCAGCAAGAAGGGTTGGCCAAAAGCAATTCATCCTACTCTTTTCAAGGCTCAGAGGGGAGTGTACACACACAAACCCGCTCCCTACCATGTGGAAACACTTCCCCAGGTCTAGCTCAATCCCTCCTGCTGCCACAAAAGTCCACTTCTCTTGCTCTCTATCTCCATCTATAAAGGAACAGCTGTTCACTGACCTCTAGATGAGAGCCATGGCTCACCCTTCTTTTTCCAGTCTCAAAGAATCCATAAATAACCAAATAATCTAATTCAGGTCCCACCTCTGTTACTAACTCACCATAGCTTTTGGAAATGTCACTTTGCCCTCCCTGAGTGTCCAAAACGTATTTTTAATCTAACAGGCACATTCATCTAATGGAGGCTCTGGGGAAAGATTTACACACAGATATGTCCAGAAATTTCTACTTGAAAATACCCCTGTGCCAATGGGTTAAGGGTGGCTCTGTTAGTGGTTAAGAGCTCGGCTGCTAACCAAAACGTGGGCAATTCGAATCCACCAGCCACTCCTTAGAACTGCTCCTTATGGGGCAGTTCTAATCTGTCCTATAGGGTAGCTATGAGTTGGAATTGACTCGACAGCAACAGGTTTGGTTTTGGGTTCTGTTATGAACTAAAGGGCAAGCTATGCATGCCACAGGGAAAAAAAAAGATCAATTTAATTAATTATGCATTTGTTCATACTTTTCCTCCCAAAGCTAACAGTTTTTAAAAACTGTGGGCTAGAGTAAGAAGTGTGTTTTACATTTATGCACACATACATATATGTTACTGAAATAAAAATTATACAAAACATACTTATCCTTGCGTGTGCAATGTACTGATATTTTTCTCTTCTATTCTGTTCTAGTCTACTCTGTTCTATCATATCCTATCCCATCCCATCCCATTTTATTTCTTAAAATGTTGGTTATGACCCACTAGAATGATCTCATGGCCCACTAATGAACCATGACTCATAGTTTAAAAAGCAGATTCCAGTAAGCCTCTGCCACCAGGTAAATAGATGGTGTTTACATTCCAAAGAATGCTCAAATTTCATCATTTTTGTTTTCATTTCACTCTAAGAAGTCAGGCTGATCAAATATTTTCAGAGTAACTAGAAGACACTAATTATACAAAGAGATAATTAGCTCTAAGAATAGAAATGGTCACATAGGACAGAGTGGCTAATGAACTTAATTGTTTCCAATAGTGTGACCATATTACATTTTGTTTGTTTTGTTTCTAAGTTGACTGAATACATAGCATTGACAAAAGCAGGGGAAAGGGTCTGGTTTGTGAGAGCATTTGAGCTGATGCAGAACAGACCAGAAGTTCTAGTTCCCAGGCTGACTGGTGGGGGACCTGAGCCCTGGGAAGTAGAACTTGTAGTCTATTCCCCATCAGCTCAAATGCCTTCAAAACTAGACACTTTCCCCTGATTTAGGGAGCTTCAGTCTCCCAAAGTCCCACTGAGTGGCCACAGCATTGGGTGAACCCCCAGCTCTGGTCAGCTGCCTGCGTCTGCTGGCTGTGACCCCAGAGGAAAGCAGGAATTTATCCTCAGGGATGTAATTTTAGGGATTGTTACTAGATCTCATCCTAACCCCTACAGCCCTCTTTTATTTTCTTTGCACCTTAACATTAATTTTGAGAGTCCTCCCAAATATTTGGATAAGGAGACTCTTTCAACAATGAATGAGACAGCTACAGTGAATGTCTGAGAAAGGCAGTCTGCCCTTGGAGTAGCTCTGCCAATCTGTAAGACACTGAGTATGTTGGTTCACATCACTAAACCTCACCACCCTAATTCATAAAGTGGAATGAACAAAGTAGGTATCACAGTGCTATATCCATAGAAGGAGCACACTCCCAATCTCTCCCCCCATTAACCACAAATAAAAGAGTACGTGTATGTGTGTGTGCTTGTGTTCACTGAGTGTTAAATGAAGGCACTGCAAGAATTAAATAACACAATACATATGAATGTGATTTCCAGAGGCCTCAGTGGTTTCCACTGGGGGAGAATGACTGAGGTAGAGCTGAGAAGAGAGCCTTTTATTTCCCTTTTGTTCACTTTACCTTTTTGGTATATATATATGTGTGTGTGTATATACATATATATTTTTGAATTACTTTTATAATTAAAAAGTTTGTATTTTTAAAAGAAGAATATAATGGCAATATGTAGTTGACCAAAATATACTTTTATATCAAGCTTTCAGAAGCAAAATTATAGTGTTAAATGAAATGGACTCATACATAATAAGTTAAACTGGAATAAAAGTTAACATTATATTTTAACTTTAAAATTACATGAATATTTTATCTACAGTGTGCTAACTTTCTGAAAAACCACACTAATTTGCTTCAATTTATACATTACCTAAAGAAATAAAGTTTCCATTAACTCAGAAATACATTGCCTTATAATAAAGCAAATCCATAGAACAATACCTTAAAGGTTCTACAAGTTCATTTTATATTAATGTGTAGAAAAATATCTGGGCAAAATACACTCAAATTAATCACCCTGGTTCCTGCTGGGAAGATGCCTGGGGCTGGGCAGGGGGTGGGGGTGGGACAGAATTGCAGTGGTCAAAGGGGTTTCAGATATATCTCTAATGTCTAAACATTTTATGAAAATATATTAATATATGTGTCCTTAAATATTAATTTTTCAAAATCAGAAAGGAACCTTTGAAGATTATCTCTTCCGAATTTCCACTTTTCCACTTTTTACAGATGGGGAAACTGAGAAGAGAGAGTACTGGCTCATATGTCCCCATTCAGTCCTCACTTGCAGTGGTTGAGAGGGGTATGGCGGCGGGTGGTGATCAGTGACCTCCTGCCACAATTCATCACAACACAAAATCACTGAAAGCAGTGAGGGGGACGAAGTAACTAATTGAGGAACTGGTCATAAACAATCACTAAAGC